ATAAGCAGCACAAAATGTTGAACGCAAATTAAAATACAAACTAGCAATCAATAATACACAGTATACATGTAAACAAAAGAACCAATGCAAACAACTAAGTTACAAAGTCATATACAGTCAAGTTGCTTACATAATAAATTTCATTTGATTAAATTTAACAGCTGTAAACTATAAATAAAGCTAAACAACTGAGACAAGAGTTCGAAACTAGACAGTATAAAATGTGATTTGTAACACTATATATTTTCGATTATGACTGATTAGTATTAATATGTGGAAAAACTAGCCATATAAAATAAATGATTAAATGAAGTGAATAAAGTACGCTTAAATTCATTAACCAGTCAGTTTATATGAGAGGTGGAGTAGTTCCAGGCCACATCCAGTTTTATCACGTTTCTATGGTTTAGGTCATAGACATTTGATGATGATAACCTGTGCAAACCCAAGTGACTACGATAATCATTGGTTTTTTAAAATAATTATCTAAAAATAAAGGACTTTTTCCATTTTTATTCAGTTTGTTTGTGCTTATAAAAATAATATTAGTCAGTAAAAAACTTTAAGGTAAATGCTTCTTATGTTTCAGACACATCACTTGGTGATTAAATTATGTTTCGACCAGTAATCACATACCCAGCTAATCAGAAAGGGATAAATTTCCAAGGCAAAGAAACCCTTTTTTATCTGGGTTACAAATGAGTTACAGCTTACAACAATTAATTATTTAGACTATCCTATTATTGTCAGTTGACTTGGCTGCATTGACAAAGTTGGAAACTCAAGAATTTCAACTCAGTGTGAAAAGTTACGCCTGTTACTCCTCGTGAAGGAGCATAGACCGCTCACCAGCATTCTCCATCCAACCCTGTCCTGGGAAATCCTTTCCAGCTCCGTCCAGTTGTAATTCATCGCTTTCATATCTGCTTCTATTATCCGACGTAATGTGTTCTTTGGCCTTCCTCTTTTCCGCTTCCCTTCAGGATTCCAAGTTAGGGCTTGCCTCGTGATGCAGTTTGACGATTTGCGTAATGTATGTCCTATCCATCTCCATCGTCTTCTCCTAATTTCTTCTTCAGCTGGAAGTTGGTTTGTTCTCTCCCACAGAAGGCTGTTGCTGATGGTATCCGGCCAATGGATGTTGAGTATCTTGCGAAGACAGCTATTTATAAATACTTGTACTTTCTTGATTGTGGTTGTTGTAGTTCTCCAAGTTTCAGCTCCATACAGTAGAACTGCCTTGACGTTCGTATTGAAGATTCTCACTTTGATATTGGTTGAAAGTTGTTTTGAGTTCCATATGTTCTTCAATTGTAGGAATGCGACCCTTGCTTTGCCGATCCTCGCCTTTACGTCTGCATCGGATCCTCCTTGTTCATCGATGATGCTTCCCAGGTATGTGAAGGACTCTACATCTTCCAGAGTTTCGCCATCAAGTGTGATTGGATTGCTGTTCTCCGCTTTGAATTTGAGGACCTTAGTTTTCCCTTTGTGTATGCTGAGGCCTACTGATGCAGAGACTGCTGCTACACTGGCTGTCTTCATCTGCATCTGTTCGTGTGTACGTGATATAAGAGCTAGGTCATCTGCGAAGTCCAAATCGTCTAATTGATTCTGAGCTGTCCATTGTATTCCGTGTTTTCCTTCAGATGTTGAGGTCTTCATAATCCAGTCGACCACCAGAAGAAAGAGGAAGGGAGAGAGTAAACAGCCTTGTCTGACTCCGGTCCTTACTTGGAATGCATCTGTTAGCTGTCCTCCATGCACTAGTTTGCACTGTAGTCCGTCGTATGAGTTCCGGATAATATTGACAATCTTCCCAGGAACTCCGTAGTGTCGAAGAAGTTTCCATAACGTCCTCCTATCTACACTGTCGAATGCCTTTTCATAATCAATGAAGTTGATGTATAGTGATGAGTTCCACTCAACTGATTGTTCGACGATGATCCGTAGTGTTGCAATTTGGTCTGTGCACGACCGATCCTTACGGAATCCAGCTTGTTGATCTCGAAGTTGGGCGTCTACTGCATCCTTCATCCGGTTCAGCAACAATCTGTTGAAGACTTTCCCTGGTATTGACAGTAGTGTTATGCCTCTATAGTTTTCACATTTGCTCAGATCTCCTTTCTTTGGAATCTTGACGAGGTGTCCTTCTTTCCAGTCCATCGGCACTTGTTCCTCCTCCCAAATCTTTCTGAATAGAAGATAAAGCATGCTTGTGGTTGCTTCGATGTCTGATTTCAGTGCTTCAGCTGGTATGTTGTCGGGTCCCGCTGCTTTCCCGTTCTTGATTTGTCTGACGGCCATTCTAATTTCCTCCGTAGTTGGTGGATTGACATCTATAGGAAGATCTATGTGTGCTGCTTCGATGTCCGGTGGATTCATTGGAGCCGGCCTATTCAGGAGTTCCTCAAAGTATTCTACCCATCTGTTACGCTGTTGTTGAATTTCAGTGATTGGCTTGCCTTCCTTGTCTTTGACCGGCCTCTCTGGTTTATTGTATTTCCCTGCTAGTTTCTTCGTTGTATCGTAAAGCTGTTTCATATTTCCTTCTCTAGCAGCTTTTTCTGCCGTCGTTGCTAGTTCTTCCACGTATTTCTTCTTGTCGGCTCTAATGCTCCTCTTCACTTGTTTGTTTGCTTCTATGTATTCAGCTTGTGCTTGGACTTTCTCTGCTCGTGTTCGGCTGTTGTTTATTGCTGCCTTCTTGTTCTTCCTTTCTTTGATCTTGTCCAGTGTTTCTGTATAGATCCATTCCTTATGATGGTATTTTTTAGACCGAGAACCTCTTGACACGTTGAAGTTAATGCTTCCTTGATGCCTTTCCAGTTGTCCTCCATAGTAGTTTCTTCTTCTTCTTTCAGTAGATCTTGTAAGGCTTGGAACCTGTTGTTGAGAGCTATCTTGAATTCATTGAGTTTGACAGTATCTCGAAGAAAGGCTGTATTGAACCTTTGTATTGCTGTTTGTCCACTTGTCCAGTTCTTTTTTAGCTTCAGTTTCAAATTGGCTACAACTAGGTGGTGATCTGAAGCTACGTCAGCACCTCTCCTGGTTCTCACATCTTCCATTGTCCTTCGGAATTTTTTGTTGATGCAAATATGATCTATTTGGTTCTCTGTAGTGTGGTCCGGTGAGATCCATGTAGCCTTGTGTATACGCTTGTGTGGAAATATTGTGCCTCCTATGATCAATTTGTTGAATGCACATAGATTTGCAAATCTTTCTCCACTTTCGTTTCTTTCTCCCAGTCCATGTCGTCCCATAATATCTTCATATCCAGTGTTGTCTATTCCGACTTTGGCATTTAGATCTCCCATTACAATGGTGAGGTCCTTTCTTGGGCATTTCTCTATCACTGACTGCAGCCGCTCGTAGAATTGATCTTTAATGTCGTCGTTGCTATCATTGGTGGGTGCATAACATTGGATAATATTCATTAAGATCCCCTCCTTCTTTGTTTTGAATGATGCTTTGATGATTCTGGATCCGTGAGATTCCCATCCTACAAGTGCATTTCGTGCTACTTTGGACAGCATAAGAGCGACTCCCTGAGTGTGTGGAGCATTGTCCTCTTCGTGACCGGAGTATAGCAGCATCTCTCCCGTAGCTAGCCTTTTCTGTCCAGCTTGGGTCCAGTGGGTTTCGCTGATTCCCAGTACTGCTAAGTTGTATCTCCTCATTTCCATTGATATTTGACTGGTCTTCCCGGTTTCCCACATTGTTCGAACGTTCCATGTACCTATAAAATTTTTTGCTCTGGTTGTTAGAAGGGGCATCGGCCTCGTGGCTTCCGGAGGAACTCGGCTTTCACCATGAAGCGTCATAATTCTTCTAAATGAAGACCTTCTAACTCCCAGGGCAGAGTTAAAATGGTTTGGATTATTTTTTCTGGTAAGCGTTTTTTAGCGAGTTAGTTTTCTACGGGAACATGATGTATAATCTACGCGATAAAAATCGTTCGAAAAGGCTTTTGTTCTTATGGCTAATAAGTGACAGCCGAAGTTGTGGGTACATGGGGAAATCAATCTTCATGTATGATATAAACTACAAGTGGCTGTACCATGGCGATTATTGGTCACTAATTTATTATGATCCAGTACTCTTTATTCATCTAATGTTTTGTGGACAAAAGCGAACTAGATTCATTTGTTTCAGTCAGTTACCATATTTGAACATACTTTGAATAACCGATTTGCTTAGCACAGTAATAAAAATATATTTATTTTTAGGAGAACAGAATTGTGGAGTTAGTTGAATTTTATATTTTACATTACCGACTGACCTTAGTTAATTAAATTTTGAAAACCAGGAAGTATTGGACGGCTGTTTCGTCATACTATAGGACTCCTCGGCAGTGTACATTGACAACACCGAAGATTAAACCCATGAACCTTAAGTCCTCAGATAGCGCTTAGATCACACAATCGGCTTCCATCAGTTTATGTATGTTACTTCCAGTGATTCGTGATACCACATATCCATCTTTTAACCCCATTGATGGGTCTTCAATTGTTTTTTACGGACAGTCTATAATGTAATCTAAAAAATAAGTGTACTGATTTATTCTCATTCCGTGAATGCTCGGACAAGTTTAATGTGTAGCTATAAGACAGACTAATTTATTCTTACCATTGCCTAGGGATTTTCCACATCAGACCTACATACACATTTCACACCAAATGGCATATTCACAGTAAAAATTCCATATTCATGGTTTTAACATGATTGCACAATCTTTTTTTACATAGTTGTATTCTGAAGCTTATTTATACTCGATATTTTGATTTTTTTACTATTTCTCTGAAAGAGGTCAAATCAGTCTGTCGAGCTAAACGTTGGAGTTATTTTTAACCCAAATCACTGAAATCTTTTATATATAGTTTTCTTTTAAAGTATTTTGTTGTAAAGATGTAAATATACATCCTACATGTCATCCAAATGTAATGTTACATTTTTTTTTATTTTCGTCACCCATCTTTTTCACCTTTTAAAAAAAGAACATTTCAAATGTATTACAAGGAATTCGTGATCGAAACGATTTAGGTCATCCAATTTGTTCACATCTTCGTCAAGGTGATTGGTTAGCCCATTATTTAACTGAACGTTTGGCAAAACTACCACATAATTCTAATAAACTTATCACTAAAGCAATTATTCAAATGAGTGATATTTTAAAAATTATGTATAAACCTCTGTCAAACATTCCAAGATATTTAGTCCCTGCATACTTTGAAGCATTGACTGTTACATTAACAGAATTTATTAAGCTTGAGGTAAGTTCTGCTTCAGTTTCTTATGGTTTATTTTTTGCCGTTTTGGTCATCGTTTTTGTTAGATTATCATTGATTTATAGGAAGATCGTTACTTTCAAATTATGTAAGGCTAAATAGTGTGTTTTCGAGATTACCTTGTTGAAGTTATATGATCGAATATTTTAGTCATGGTTGAATATGACTGAAAAATTAGTAGTTATTGGATGTTTAAACCACCATAATTTAACCAGAAGTTACAATTTGATCCGTATTATTATTCTCTGACTATTTATCAGTCAATAGTGTTCAACACATACACCACCTTTTGTTTTGGGATGGATAAATTAGGGTATTTCTGGATTACTATCAGTCCTCGGGTTATGAAGAGTTAATATTTACTTAGGGAATTACTTCCTTGTTCAAAACTGGAGTCTCATACTTTTTCAAATTGTCTATTCATACTACAATTGAATGCCTTCTCAAAGTCTTGCTTTAAATGAATTAATCTTTTAATACAACAGTACAACTGACTTACTAGTAAAATAACTAGATTGACTCATGTGGGCGGAATCGATTCACCAATTTCAACTCGGCTACTGGGTAAACTTTGTGCCCGGCGGTCATCTGACTCGAATACTCATGTACATATTTCCTATATACAACTCCAACCGGCTACTTGAGCGTGAAAACTAAGAATGAATAATAAACTTTTACTGACTAACCCAAATCGATATATGCACAAACCCATTCATTAATATAGATGTACCCCTAAGAAAACTAAGCTAGATTTTAAACTCGTAGTGTATATCTGTTTCCCTCGATAAATTAAATTAATTCTTGGTCAATGACGTTCACCCGTCTGCATCTTTCACTTTTTTTGACCTTGATCTGATATGTCTAACTGACGTAACCTGTCGAAATGACTGTGTATACGACATTCAACTGACATATTCTATATTATCTATATGATAGATACTGAGTTATACGAAGTTAAAAATGACCACAAAACAGCCAATGAAAATATCCTCTCATTCGCTTCATTAATGAAATTGGACATAAAATTTGAAAATTTTATAGCGCGAAGAGTCAATCAAAATCGTCGAAACTTTAAATATTTGTGTGGAATTTAAAAAAGGATGACTTTCATTGTATGCCACGTAAAACGAACATCAGAAATATCTTTATCTGGTGCTTAGAGTGTTTAAAAATGTTTTATCATCATAGAGTAGAAATGTTAGTGTTAAGCTTATCAAATTCTCAAGTCTTTTTATATAGATTGTGTATAACTTACAAATCAATTTTAAGCCTAAATTCTAATCAGGAACAGTATGGGGACTTTGTCTCCTTATGAGGACTTTAAAGAAGGAAATTCTATAGCCATATAAAAGAATTAATATGTCGTTGGTTTTCCGATTTAAAGTTGGCAATCCTGTTGAAGATTTCATTAACTGTATTATATATATATATATATATATATATATATATATATATATCCCTTTCAAACCACTCATCTACAATAACTATTTTTTTGTTTACAACGGGCTAAAATTTGTCGGGATTGCTTTAAGAATCGCTAAAGCTCGTCACTGTACCGTGCTCTTACCTACATAAAGATCATATTCACTTACATTTTAGCCATTCATTTCAACTAACTACCTTAAATAAATTATTTCAAACTACTTTAAGTTGCAGATAGAAAAGAGTTGACTTTGTTGGATCGATTGCTTAATATTTTCCTTCATCTTATTTTATCGTTGTGAGGTGAAGTACACTTAAATGGGATTCTACGATCTAAAATATGTCTTAATAAAACAGTTCATATATTTTCATAAAATCGAAATTCTGATTGTTGTTTTCCGCTTAACCAATGTCACATACCACATTAAATGCATAGCTTTTATCCTGTTTTTCGTCCAATTTTGTTTTCCTAAATTTTCTATTGATTAATACAAACATTTACAAACTATGATCCCTTCTATTTTATACAGCTGAGAAACTAAAATAGAAATGTCAACAAAGTTGATGCATTTAGTCACTTTATTTACCAAATACTCAAATAACTAGTACTTTTTCTTCATTTTAATTTTTTTAGATTACATTACGATTTGCACCTTGGATAAGAAGTAGCTCATCACTTGCAAAAAATCTAGCAGTAGCTACTACTCAATTTTACGGTTTTATTGGAAATAGTCGTCTTCCTGGACGTGTCATCCAATTTAATAAAGATTCTCAAAATCCAGAAATCGAAGCAATGTTTTGTAGTTTAGCTGCAGGTTTACCACATTTTGCCGAAGGGATGTGGCGTTCTTGGGGAAGGGATACTTTTATTTCACTCCGAGGTTGTCTTCTTCTAACAGGACGTTACCAAGTAAGCCAAAAATGTAGTAGTTCGTCTCCTATACGAAGTTAAAATCTTGAATATTTTTAAAATTGACATTATTGAATTCTTATAATTAAAATTCAGAGTCTCTCACTCTTGTTGTGTTTCCGTAATCACAATCCTACATTTCAAGACCACCAAAGAAACGTATATTTTTGCGTGTGCAATTAACTTGTACCTTAAATGCTAGAAGACATTGTTCGCTTGCACGTTATCCATATTTTTCTTTTAAAAATATTGGTCGCACATGATAGTTTTAACTTAGTTCAAAGTTGTAGGTGACGAATTAACAACAATTGACGTGATTTCGAACTTCGGTAGATACATGTGGTTGGTTCATCTGCTAAGCTAGTATAGCAGCTACCAATTTTCGCTTGATATAATTACGCGGTTACCTTAGTAAGACTTAACATCAGAAGATGATGACACTGACTGTAAGTTTGTACTCAGAACGCTTCTTCATTCAGGTCCACAATACAACATGAACTGATCTTCACAGATAGCGTTGGTATTACCCAAAATCAAATGGAGAAGTGCAAATAAATTCACTTCTAACTTATACGTTCAACAATTTTTTTGTTATACACATTTGTTATCTATCTACTCAAATTTATCTTGTTTAGTTTAATATCTTTCTTTTGGTGGTTCTTACTTTTTATAGGACTGAAGAATGTTACGAATTTACTAGATGCCTATGTATATGTATATGTGTTAACGACATTCCATTTTACACAAGTGACTTTGCTAATTCCAACAAAATAATTTGTAAAAGCCCGTAACAGTTTATAGAGGCACTCAGTGTCATTCTAAGAGTTATATGCTTTATGACTTAGGTTTTTTAAAAAACTAGATATTTATCCGTTGGAATCTTATGATGACATGGTCCAGATGTTTCTATTCTTTATCTGGATTGTCAACACCCGGATAAATTGAACTTTACTTAGGTTGCTCAATCAGATTCTTCTCCTTCGTATGTGCATCGATTAACTACTACTATTAATGTGCACAACAGACGTTCAATTCCAGTTTAATAACACCATATATCGTCAAATCGATGGCATAGCAATTGGAAGTCCACTAGGTCCAATTCTGGCAGATATTTTTATGGGGTATCTTGAAAACATGGTGCTTAAACAGGCGATTAGCGAAACGACGGAATATTCCAGATATGTTGATGACACGTTTACTGTCTGCAACAATAAACAGCATGCAATCCGCCTGCTAGAACTCTTCAATAATGCTCATCCTAACATACAATTTACTATGGAACATGAACAGAATGACATGTTCCACTTTCTTGATGTTGCTATAAAACGTAGGAGAGACGGGACAGTCCAACGTTCGGTTTATCGAAAAAGTACTTGGAATGGCCTTTACCTGAATTTAAATAGTTTTTGTCCACTGAATTACAAGGCATTAGTTAAAACACTATTTTATAGGGCAAAAAGGATATGTACTACTGACAAACTGGAAGAAGAATTGATGAACGTGGAAAAATGCCTACGAGACAACTTTTACTCACAAAAGTTTATTGACAAATATAAAAAGCGTAAAGAAAACAATACTGAAGTAATTACGGTCAATAAAAAACCAATAACTATAAATCTTAACTTCAAAGGTGAATATGTTGTAATCACAGTGTTGGCGGCCAAACTTCTAATTCTGTATAAAACAACATTTGAATAACTCAATCAAAGCTTGATAGGCATCCTTTTCATGTTACCGCCAATTGTATTTATAAATTTACGTGTACCTGCCAAAGCAGCTATATTGGCCGAACAGAAAGGAGGGCATATCTTAGATTTTTTGGACATGTTCCAAAAACCCTCAGAACAAGAGACAGAAAGACTCTAAACAGTGCAATCACCAAAAATCTCCTTGATACAGGACATCAGGTCGATACCCTACAAACTCCAGATGTTTGTTGAAACCGTTGTTATGAGACGCCAAAAACCTGATTTATGTGTTCAAAAGGAGATGGTTATTAATATTTCCTTGCCTTGGTGACTAATATTCCTTCGCTGTATCTTATTTTTTTCCTTTTCTTTAAACTCTTTCTTGCATTTGTCACGTCACTGAGTTTTATTCCAACTATCCTCCAAATTATAAATAAATAGTATATTTGTAATATCCCAATGAGTAGAAAAATTAGATTTTCGGCCGTTTCTTGGCTTAGTGTAAGTCACTTCTTCAGAGAATAAATAACCAAATTAAAATTAATTTTAATTAATATTACAAATATATTAATTTATTTATAACAATCTACCCAGTGCTCAATTTATTCGAAATTATCAAATCAAACCTTGGTAATGATACCTATATCTTCCAAATTAATAATCTTATTTTATCAACTGAACTCTACTCATTTTGTTCCTATCAAGGTTTATTTGTTTCTAACCGTTTGAACTGTTGTCACAATGTTCTTTCATCACATAAGATATATATTTACAATATTCAGTCTATTAAATTTATTTACATCCCTGCTATACTATACTAATATGTCTTCAATATAACTTCCAAATAAACCCTCTCATGTAAGTAATTTAAACCCATTATGTAATTATGATTTTAAATATCACAGGTTGTAAGCAGCTGACGAGAACCAACGAAATAAAAATGAATTCATGCTATTCTGCTATAATGTTTGTTCTTGCTCTTTTCAAAATGTTAAAGGGAACTATGTGTATGAAAAGAGATGTATGTTGACTCAGTTAATTCAAATTAAGGTTAAAGTTGTAATAATCATAATAACAGCAAAAATGCAGGAATGAAACAAACACTAGTCTTCCAGCTTTGTATGAAAACCCGACTCAACTGTTCAAAATATTGCTCAAATGATTAACAACCAAACTTTATCATCACTTAAGTTTATTTTTCCTTTTCTTTTCGAGTTAAACTTCAATCTAATTGTAACCCTATTGAGATTGAACTGTTATATATTATAACAGTTTATTCATTGAAAAAGATTTTTTGCAAACTTTCTATTACGTCCTTGATCTGTCTACCCAATAATACACACAAGATAACTTGTATCAATCTAGATTAAGTCCTTGAACTATAGGCTAACTGGTTAACCCTGAAGCTAGAAATGCGTGAGTCCGAATCGAGACTAACTGCCTTGTACAGAGAGATGGAAACTATTCCATCATTTGATTAATTGACAAGCGCGCGCGAGAGAGAGAGATGAGTCAACTGGAACACCACTCGATTTATTCCCAATCCTGATTCAGGTTAGTCTAAAAAGATATACGAGTACATAGATGACTAAAATGACCACAACGTACAAAAAATTAGAAAAATACAATTATGTTCAAATTGGGCATTAGGGTTGAAAAATTGAGTACCAAAGATTACGTTTAAATTGCAGTAACTTTGGCATGGAACTGGGAATAACTGTGAATTGTGCGTCAAGCGAAAGCTTATGCTTTATAGGATAACCTAGGGACCAAACTAAATGTTAGTATTCTACAAACTTTGGATTAAGTGGAATAATTTTTCAAAAAACGGCTTTCGTCGTTTTTCATGGCTTCTTTGTCCCTCTGTTCACATTATTTTCCTTTCTCTTCATTAAACAGGATGCTGCTAACATTATTCTCAGTTATGCTAGTTTATTAAGACATGGACTAATACCAAATCTTATAGGAGATGGTTACACTGTTAATCCAAGATACAATTGTCGTGACGCTGTTTGGTACTGGTTATATTCTATCGTTATTTACGAACAATTTATTTCAAGTACTAAAGAATGCTGTCTGGAAGGAGATGATTCTTCTAGTATTTTAAATTGTCCAGTTTATAGATGGTTTCCAGATGATGATACAGTTGGTTGGCCGGATGAATATTTGACCAATTCATTATCTAGTCAACGTATACAACCCTTGCATGAAACAATGCAAGAAGCTTTGCAACGACATATTAATGGTATTGAGTTTATCGAAAGGAACGCTGGGCCAACTTTAGATGAACACATGAAACCGGAAGGATTTAAGGTTAGTTATCGATTGTGGCATATATAGCATCCAAATATCACTTTTGTTTTATATGCTATTGAAGGCAACGATTTAATCATTCATGAATTAATTTATGAATAGGCGATATTAGGAATTGAATTTTTATATTATTTACTAACACTATTAAATTTAAATTCACTCAGTTTAGTATGAACCAGTGGTCGGGTGCGTACCCTGAATACGGCAATGTTTATGGATTAAATGTATTCTATAAAATAGAGCAACATAAAATATATTCACTGAAAATTTAAGAATCTCGATACATTAGTTTTTATCATTTCATTATAGGTTCAGGCCAATATTGATTTAAATACAGGATTTCCTCGTGGTGGCAACGCTTTTAACTGTGGCACATGGATGGATAAAATGGGCAGTTCATCAAAAGCTGGTAACCAGGGTATACCTGCTACTCCTCGTGATGGTTCCGCAGTCGAATTAGTTGGTTTGGCGTATGCAGTTGTATCGTGGTTAGCAGAATCCCATAATCAAGGTCCAAATTACTCTGGCTATTATCCGCATGCAGGTGTTCAACTGACATCTGGTAAGGAACTTTCATGGAAAGAATGGTCAAATCTGTTGAAAAATTCCTTTGAATCGCACTTTTGGATTCCGGAAAGCACAAAGGACCCTAACTTGCTTTATAATAAAGGAATTTATAGAGATTCTTTTGGTTCGTCTGGAGGATACACAGATAATCAGCTACGCCCCAATTTCCTTATAACTATGGTTGTAGTAAGTTTTAAACTATGCATTTTTACTAATATTATACTTGATTAACTCAGCTTAACACTACATAATATTATGGGTGTAATTGAATAGATCTTGATAAACGAAGAATATCTCTTACTACTATTATACGTAATGACCTTATCAATATTTTTTTCTTAAAAAGTAGTTTTTCTATACATATTTAGGTGTCGTGCTTATGTGAACAGTTAACCAAATAATATTAATTGTGACCCTTATTATCATTCCTTTATTTCACTAACATTCTGTCGTTAACTTCAGCTTGGTAAATGCAACCGCTGTTAACCCTATGATTCGGGGATCAATTGTAAAGCATATTAACTGATATTAAGTACTCATCAGTGTTGTATTCTTGAACACTTCACTTGACTGGTTCTCAAATCAAAACACGACTTTGATAGAAACGTAGATATACTACATAGCAAACGACAAGTTAAATCAGTATAGTATGGACATATCAATGGACACTTAAACTCTACACAGGTAATCTCATGTCTTCTCAGCTCATCCAACTGATTAGTTGAGGGTAAACTAATAAACGCTAGCCATCGTGATTTCAGAAACATGTTTAGTCAAGCCCCTATCATGCTATTAATAGAAGTTGCAAGTAGCTGCTTGTTCATGAATATATGTTCACGCTAATATTTGTCGCGCTAAAATCGTGATTTAGCTTGCATTTAGCAACAAATCAGTTACCGAGATACCCTTTTTGTAATTATTACTGTAACACGAAGGTCAGCTGGACAGTGGTATGACAAAAGTATTAATTTTTGTAGCATAAAGACTGCGTTGTGATAGATTTGTAATGATGATCGTGTAAGGCTTTGTTATCATTAGGATATTTTTCTTGGACTGTATTAAGCGGTACTAGCTAAAAAAGATGTATCACTTGCTTTATGAGATAACTTCTCTCTTAGTAAGGGTTTGAAAAGAACAAATAAAACTCTTTAAGAAGCTTAATTCATACTGTTTTGGTTGTTTGAATCTTTGCATTGACTTTTAGGACTGCAATTGGTCAGTCTCTTATTGGCATATGTACATCCTTTGCGGATTGTCTTGATATCATCTTAAGTCACAGGCAATATAAGCAGAAATGGATGGCGATTAGCAGTGAAATCCAGGACGCGCGTTGTTGTTCGTCATCGATTTAAATGACATACTGATGTGCATGTTCGTAACTAAAAAGACTGTTCCAGATGTTTTGTGACTAAATAAATATTCATTACTTCAATACTTATACAATACAAGTTCACAAACCACTTTATAATTTCATTTGTCTTTGTGTGCCTGTTGCCATTATTTCCCCTTTTTGTTGATTACAATTTGCTTTGTAATAACACCTACTGGTCGCGTCAGTGTGATGATGTTGCTGGGTGACAGATCCATTTATTGTAAATGTACCAATAACTAAACGCCTGTAGTTTTAACAAACTGTACTTTTCGTTCTTTCTCAGTCTATTGAAAAATTTTATTTCAAATTGATGAAATTTAACTGAAATTATGAACCGATCACTGTTAGACCACTGTTGAAAACCTGGAAGGCCGCTCCATCCTAATATGGACTACTCAGCAGTGTGGATCCACTACCCCGCACGTGGTAACTGAACCCACGACCTTCGGTTTCACGCGCGAACGCTTAACAGCTAGACCTCAGAGGCGGCATCCTACAATGCTAATGTCTAGCTTCAACCAACCCACGATATTGCACGACTATCTTCCATCGTCTCCGGTGGGCAACTCTTTCACACCCGCGAGACCTAAGATTCTGGGTTCGATACCTGCATGCGGAGTCTTATGCTAGGATGAAAAGGCCTTCCAGCGCCTCCAGGTTTACCACGGTGGTCAAACATTTTTCGGCTCATGATTTCAGCTAGACTCACCAATATCCACGCCTCCATACTGTTAGCGAAATTCATTGATTCCTGCTGTTTCATCTTATTTTTTTGAGTAAGCTTATCTCTAAACGAAATTATTCTAATAGGCCCCTGAATTATTTACACCCGAACGGGCATGGAATGCATTGGAAATAGCTCAACAACGATTAACTGGTCCATATGGTATGTGCACTTTGAGTCGAGATGATTTAGCTTATCGAGGATATTATGATAACTCAAATGATAGCTGTGACTTTTCTATAGCTCGTGGTTTTAATTATCATCAAGTAAGTCTTTACTTCATTTCTTTATATGCTAAATTTCCACCTGATGAAATGTCTATCATTTCACACCTTTTTTAGTCATATTCGCATTGTGAATGATTTTTTTTATCTTTGTCAATCGTGAAGCCACAACTGTTATTACTAGGTTATAAATGGATCATCACATTTTTTGTTTTTCGTTAATTTTCTTTTTCTTTTAGAGGATATCATTACCTTGATTTCAATATTCTCATTAATCGTTCCTTAGTTATGTCATGCACACATAATACACAATTCATACTAATGTACTTCATTGAAAGTGTTGATCTTCTGGTTTCTTCAAGTATGACAGTAACATTGACTGCGTGGATCGAATAATGACATTATTCTTTGTATGTTAAATAGCTATAAACTTTCATGTCAGGAAGTTAGTAACTTTACGAATAATCTTATATTCTATCGATTTACTGTAGCTTATATGTGCACGTGCATTGAAAAATTAATTATTACCGTCATAGTATACGCACATTCACAGCTATTTCTATTATACATGTATAACAAAAGATTTCACTTTAATTCCATTTTATTCCCGGTGCTGCAGTACGATCTTCATATTAAAGTAATCGGTACGAGTAAAACAATTCGTCATTACAGAGAAATAAAATCTGAATAGTTCACTGTAATTCAAATACACAAAATCAAGATAATTCACAAACCATATTGTTAGGTGTCAGGTGAATAACCGGGAGTTATATCTCAGTAGCTCTAATGTCGAAACAATTTCATTTTATTCTCATTAATCTCTCCACTACAATCAAGAAGGTTAAGGCACAGTTCAATGCACGATAAGCATTTCAATCCTTTTCCAGTTGCTACATTTATCGACCAACTGGCGTATCCGGTGTCATACTGGTTTTCTCGACATTACGTAAATGGTTATACTACCTAGTAATGAATGAATACCGTTCCCTTATAGTCTGGATCTTACTCCGTACTGGTCAAATCTAACAGCCAGTTAACTATAAAGTTCACTCAGGTTTTATGTCATTTGGCTTTAATTTTTATGCCGATTGTGTGATAATGCATCCTTAAAATACTTATTACCTACTATTTTGGATTTAGGGCCCAGAATGGTTGTGGCCAACTGGGTATTATTTACGCGCTCGTCTTAAATTCGCTCGCATGCTAGGCAAATTCGATCCTAAACAATGGGGTCATCTCATTCTCAACGTAACTACAGAGTGCCAGAAAACATTTGCCAGACTGAATCAGAGAATGGAATCAAGTCAGTGGTGTTCTCTTCCGGAACTGACAAATGCAAATGGTCAGGTAAGATTTTTGAAATCCCTATTTATATGTGGACAACATATGTATATTTCTCACTGTATTAGGTTCGATTCCTCATAGTTACGTAGCAAAGAAATAGATCGACCTCTATGTCTGACCATAGTTGTGTTAACTAGTGAGTCGTTAGCAACGTGAAACCTTGGACGTAAATGACAATTTGCCAACCACATCAGCACAACTAGATTAAACTATTCTAATGAATACTGAGGCAGTATTAGTAGTAGTCGCAGTAGATCTCAGTTCAGTTCATGAACCTCATGGTTGTTATATATTGTGTTGCGTTTTGTTTGCGAGAATGGTAATGTTATAAACTAGTGCCGATTCCTCCTGATCATTAGTAAGGTGATGTAGCATCGTAGTATATTGGGAAGATATGATACTTCACTATATATTGTGATACTGTAGAATGCACGAAACTCAAAGTATATGTGGTTTAATTTCGCAGTGTATGTTTACTAATCCATAGGGTTCGATTTAGTTTCAACTTTTCAGAAAAGTGATCATTAATCTAAATGGAGGGATTTTTTCTAATAAATTTTGAGAACTGTTATCGAAACAAGAATGATTGGCAACGTTTTTTATTCCACAATTCTTTTATATCAGTCATCGACTTGAGGTGTTTCTGATACCTGGCAAATATAACTCAGTAACAAAAAGAATTATTGAGGCCATAAGCATTTTTCAAACGATACCAGTACTTTCTACACTTCATTTCATCTTTTGATGATGTGACAGTAAAAGACTTTTTAGGTATCATTACGAAGCTTTGATTTGATAATTTCAAATGAATTGAGCATTGGGTAGATTGTTATAAACAAATTAATATATTTGGTTATTTATCCTCTGAAGAAGTGGCTTACACTGAGTCACGAAACGTCAGAAAATCTGATTTTTCTACTCATTGGGATATTACAAATATATTAATTTATTTAATAAAAGACTTTGTTTATATAATTAACACGGTGATAAAATCAACAATAGTTTTCGCAAGTTACGGCGAACATTTCTCTAGAGTGTTCCATGGACTATAACTGTAAAGAATGTGATGACATTGATAATTTACGTACATCCCGGTTATTTTAATAGTTTACACTAACTAATTATAACGTAGGATCATGAATATTAGTAATACACCAAATATATATGAAACTTTAAAAAGGATTACTGTGACAATTTCGTGGAATAGCGCGAACTTAGCGTAAATTCTGAAAACGGCCAATAACAAATTATTTCCACGTAAAATAGCATGAAATATTTTCCAATTTTTATAGACTAGTACTAAGTAGATAAACTAAAATTTTTTTTTTTCGATTTTCAGCTTTGTAAAGATAGTTGTGAAGCTCAAGCGTGGAGTGTGGGTTGTATTTTAGAAGCTCTGTATGAACTTATTTTCACACAGAACAAATGAGGTCCTCCCAATTTTAGAACCACGTTAGTTATCTTAACACGTTTATTTTAACACTAGTTCAGCAATCCCTTACCTATAAAATGTTATCTTAATTTTGGAATCTTTATCATAATTTGAATGACGGTGTTTAATTTTGCCTTTATATTTTAAACTTTTACAAGGTTTTCCTCATTGTAGTTATACTTAACAGTCAATTAGTACGTTATTCATCATGCAACCTAGATAAATAAATAAAACCCTATCCTATCCTTTCTCGTAAATTCTTTTTCCAGTGTTTATTGTTGTCCGGGTGCAAATAAAGTGATATCTAAGTGAATTAAAAACTAACCCAACTGAAACACTTGATTAAGCTTCATGGATTTTGAGGTTCAAGATTACATACTTGCGACTGTTAACCCTCGCAGAACATACGAAGAGTTTTGAACAGACATCAAACGTAATTAAAAACTTATTAAACACCGCACTTGGCATGGAAGATAGGACTCTGTTCCGTCAACAAAATGAACGAATTGTGTAAATATCAGCCTGTAATATATTTTACGCTGAAAAATCCTATCGTATATTTCTGACTCATAATACTGAACATGTAAGCTTCACGAGAAACTCCCTGTCACTGATGAAGAATTTTAAAACCCATAAATCAAATTCGCTGTAGTTATCATGCTTTCTCGAATACTTGTCATTATAACAATGGTAAGAATATCCAAGCTATTCATACTTGTCATTCCTCGACCCCATTAGATTCTTTTCAACAATCACTCCGATATCGAATTTCTCACTGTAATGTATACCATTTCCACCCCTTTTTCTGTTCAGTCTGTCGACTTAATCCTATAGGCCTGTTGTCTGACTCGATTATTATTGAATGATGACGTTAATAAAATACACATCCCGCTTGGCCCCGTACATATTTTCGTCAGTGCATGACGAAATAAAGTAGGCCAAATACGAGAATGAGTTTTCGATACATATATCTCATTCATCCGTAAACGCAGACAGACAGATAAGAGAGAAACTGATCGAAGAAGGCAAACGTGGCATATCAATTTAATGAGGCGTGACTCAATATTTATAGTCAGACAGAAAACCGACTAAATATATTTGACGAAGAGAGTGAGTGGTAGACCCACACTCATTTACTTAAGCCTGTTACCCCTGGTACAACATAGGCCCCAGTCAGGATGGTCCAACCGACTATGTTTCCATCTCTTCCAGAGCTTTTCATTCAAGCGTGATTTGGTTGATGCTCGTTGTGTTGCATTTCGGGATATTGCTTTCTCCCTTGCGTATATTGAGGCCTACTGTTGCAGACGCTGCTGCTACTCTGGCTAACTTGACCAGTATTTGTTGCTGTGTACAGCATGGGAGGGATAAGGTCGCTCGCAAAGTCCAAATTGTCTAGCTGCATCCGTGCTATGCACTGCATTTCGTGCTTCCCCTGAGATGTACAGGGGTCATCAAAAGAAAGAGAAAGGACGGAAGTAAGCAGACTCGTCTGACAATAGTGCTCGCCTGGAAGACATTTGTGAGCTGGCCTACATGCACGACCTTGCAGTGTAGCATGTCGTAAGAATTCCGTATGATAATGACATTCTTCCTAGGTGCTCCATAGTATCGAGGACGGTTCTACTGGGTCCTCATATCTATGCTGTCAAATGCTTCCTCGTAGTCAAGGAAGCTGATGTATGGTGACCAGTTCCATTCAACTGACTGCTCAACAATCATGCGTAGTGTGGCGGTTCGGTCTGCACACGGCCGACCCTTACAAAACCCCGCCTCTTCATTTCGAAGTTGGGCGTCTACTGAATCCTTCATTCGGTTCAGCAACACTATTGAAAAGCTTTACTCGTACTAATAGTAGTGCGATGCCTCTGTAGTTCTCACAATTGCTGAGATCTCTTTTCTTAGGTAACTCGATGAGGTGTCCATCTTTTCATTCTGTTAGTACTTGCTCTCTCTATCAAATCTTTTTGAAGAGAATGTGAAGCATCATTGCAATTACTTCCATGTCTGACTTTAGTGCTTATGTTGATATGCTGTTTGGTCCTGCTGCCTTATCACTATTGAATTTTTTATGGAAATGCATACTTATTTGATTGTTGGTGTGGTAACATCTATGGGAAGGTCTGTGTGTTGCCTGAAAGTTGTTTGGGTTCAGTGGGGCTTTTCTACTCAAAAGCTTTTCAAAGTGTTCTACACGCATGTATCCGTTGCCGTTCAATCTGTGATTGGTATACCATCTTTATTGACTAGTCGCTCTAGGTTATTATATTTTCCTGATTGCTAGGCTGAGTATATTATTTAGTTACACTATCATGGTCAGTTTATTGACCTCACATCGTTGCGTGTTACAAAATAACACGAACATCTAGCTACCCTTATTTACATAGCCAGAAATTATTGTCTTTAATTTTGACCATCCATGTTTCTAGCCGCCTATGATTCAATTAGCAACGATATAATGTATCTTAACCGGATCGTATGGCTTAGGTTTTATTCTACAAATACGTCGGATAATTAGAAAACGGCTTGATATGTTGATAATCCGGTATCGCATCAGCAGACTTCGGTCATTAATGGAGCATTATCTAGAATCCCGCTCAAGACCGATTATTCGAAACATAGGCATACTTTCTCGCATAATTTGACTCAGATACTGAATATATATTATATCCCTTCGTCATTTTAAAGATCTTGTACCTGAAATGTCCACTCGGTGAGTAATGAAGTTTTTTATGGAAAGGGAGTAAATGCTTGAATGAATGTGGATCACTTACAGTGCTTTACAACATTAAGCAGCTTTTTTATTTGTAATGATGGTAAAATATTATGAAGAGGCCGCTAGGGATAACTATTATGCACTCAGTAACCACAATGAAATCTTATTGTCACAATTTCATTACACAGAACTAACTCTAAAAAAGTTACAGGATACATTTGACCTTTAGTAATTGTATTCAGACGATTTGTCAATGTACATTACGTGAGTATAGTCGGTATCTGCTTTTATAAGCTACGAAGGCATCAACTAAGACTTGATAAGTATCTCGCTGAGGTTGGATAGAAGTCCAGAGACAATTTGCATTTTCAAATGAGGAATGTCAAGTATGCTAGTACCAATAAAAATGAGTGGTGAATATTTTGTACTACTGTTGACATAATATGAAGTTGTGATGAAACATCTTATTGTCAAATGATATCTAAAGCGATATCCTGATTTACATTTTTGGAATTAAAATAATTTATATTTTCCTGAAGGTTTCAAAATACCTTCGGCAAATTCTAAAGAAATTGTAGTTACTCCTTTTACCAGAGTTTGATATTTGTCGAACACTTGTTTGGTTAATTCGTCTTATCTTCAAGTATTTAGCCTTAATACTACTCCACACTTTTTATAGTTTGAAGTTGTCCTTCTCGAAATGATTTCTCCAATGTTTAGTTTTCTACTTTATTATTGATGTAATCATGTCAAGTCTTTCGCTATTTATCTTGTTAAATTTAGTGTAATATGGTAATGCTTGCCCTTCACTAAGTTGTCTCCATCCATGATATGGATTTCATTTTTAAACAAATGAAATGGGTTATTGTGGTTAATTTTAATTCACCTAGTTTCTCAAAGAGCTCAGTATCAAGATTATTGGAGGTATGAGAGACAAGTACATTAGCCTAGGGTGTAATTAGTAACCTCAGACATGACCTTACAACGTAGACCTGCATTTGACCATAGGTGAAAACACATAATTGAGTTTTTCGGACATACACATTGATAAACAAGCCAGATGGTACAAAAATCAAATTAGCACCAATTTACAATGGATGTTTGAATGTTAATTTTTCAACAGGTATGTTGTAGTCTTATTAGATTGCAGAACAAAATGAATGCGGCATCATACAATGGTACGAAATACCTAAAATTTGGACAACAAAGCTATTAGTTCTGCAAAATGGTTGGATAACGAAGTAGAATACAAGGACATGTTGCGGAAGTTTCTTCTGTGATCGATTTCTTTTTCCTTAACTTTTTCATTGGTCCAATTTAATAGGGGGTAAAGTAATAACTACCACGTCGCCTGAAAGCATGGAAGAGAAGACAAGCCTTAGACTCTCAAGAAAATAATGATGAATTTTACTAGTGCTTGCGATACTTACCGATATCGTGGGAATCGCATTCGACCAGCATATGCTGGACGGAAACCAATAGACATCCCTCTGCCGCGCGCGCGACCTCTCACGAAAGGGGGACGATTTGTCATGGACATTCCTGGAACATTTGTACGTTTAGGTAGGACTTTCAACTGTCGACTTCGAAAAGATGAGTCATCCAGAGCGATTGCAGCTTCAACAGCATCACGAGTATCGAATTCAATATATGCGAATCCTTTAGGGTGTCCAGTAAATTTATTGCATAATATAGTAACACGGTTTATCGGCCCGCAACCACGAAAATGTGCTTCTAGTTCATCGGCCGTGGAACCATAATCAACCTAACTGTTAATTGGGATACCATACTGACTTACATTTCCAACATATACAGAACGCAAGTCAACTTCAGTTTTATCTTCATCTGACAAATTTGAGTTATTGGATTCTGCAGCAGAAAATAAAATTCGGAATGCTAAAATGAAGTCAAATCAGTGTGTACAATACAGAAAACTTGGGTAGCCTAAGCGCGTTAGTTTTTACACCGACTTTAGGAGGAAATAGTTTAGTAAGAACGTCACGTAAAGTATATCGAACAGCGAAAACGAATATCTTGCAGATAACTTTAGAAAGTAATTTTCAACGTATGTGACATGAAAAACGGCTGGAAAGTATTGTTTTAGCTATTTTGTGTATATAGACTAATTATTATGTAGACATGAGACAAGTGATCATTTAAATTTATGAGAGATTAAAATGAGTCGGATTCGCTAGACCAGTGGTCAGGCGATATAGAGATAATTTTTTTAAACACAGATATTGGTACAAGGAGGCATCATATACATATACGCCACACAAATTTCATTCGATATGTATGAGGGCTGCGATACTGCCCGGGTGCCCAAACCGAAGCAGGTGGTTTTCTTAGGGGGCCACACCCCGAGCCTTCGACCTAAAAATCTGATCCACATGGCAGTGGAGCATCGTAAGGAGATGCAGTTGCCATCCATGCTGTAAAAACTTCATATTGGTGATTTCCACGTTGTGATTATTTACCGACACTAGGTGTGGTTGACAGAAATGTGCAGGTGGTCATTATAAATCAGCCACGACATGAAAGAGCTATACAGGGTTGGAACTTTTTAGTTGACCATGACGTCTAGTTAAGGATCCTAAGAACTGTGAAAAAGTCGGTCATAATAGAAGGCAG